CCCATCTTGTGTCCTGAGGTCCCAGGTGAGGAATCCAGGTTGGCCAGAGAGCTGTGTTGATCTGCTTCCTTGGACTCATCCTCTGCGATAACCTCCCATCCTGATAACTAAGTTAAGGGTCGGCACACCTTCTGCAGATTCCTTTAACCTTCAGAGGGTCTAAACTAAAGTAAAAGACTTTTGTCTTTTGAATAATCCTACTTCAAAAAAAGACCTGAAGGGTCAAATTAGATGCAGAGAAACTGTCTCCGTTTTAACATTCATTAGTGCCGTGTTTATCTCCCCAGCTGTATGCAAGCACTAAAATTAAAATAAGAATCTTCACTTCACTGTGACCAACTAAGCAATGATAATGATCAGTCCATCTCAATTAACACACAGCAAGCAGCCACTCAAGGCAGCCTCGCTATGCTCTTATTCTGTCAGGCAAGTTTAGGGTTTCATTAAAGCACTAATAGCTTCCTCGCACAGTGCATCTCTCTCAAAGGCATCAGAGAGAGTCAAATCAGGTGAGCCATGTAACCATGCAGGACTCAGGAAAGCCACTTGGGCCTAACTTCAACATATTTTACATGGTAGATTAAACAGAGATTATGTTTGACCTAAAAGACAAAGAGTGGTAATTATGTGACGCTTCTGAAAAACTGACTAGATTTCACGTTACAAGTAATGGCCAGCTGATTCTGCCTCACTCTGAAGTCCTTTTAAAGATGTAATACACACTATTGTTTTGATGGTTTGTACACACCATTACTATTGTCCTAAGATGGACGTGCAGAATGTTTAGGTGTCAAAAAGGATACGGACGCTGACAGCCTCAGCATCTGTGCTCAGCAATCTCTTCACTTCCTTTTCCACATCAGGAGATTCGATGTACTGCAAGAGACAAAGAGATCAAGTTACTTGTAGTATTAGCAGCATCTCTCTTGCCTTGTCTTACCCACACACACACACACACACACAAAGGTAGCAGCTGGCCACATGCCAGGAAGTACATTAGCGATTAAAAACAGAAGGGGCCAAATCAATATGGCTCAGCTCTGCACCTTCAGGAAGATTTATTCAGAAGACAAAGTAGAAGTGTAGTGCTCCAGCTCCACTCGCTTTCACTTTGATCAAAGCAATAGTGAAATAGCTTTTTTGCATGCCTTTGGGGAACACTAAGATGGAAAGGCTTTATTTATATGTAAATCTTAGTTTTCACTTTTACCATAGTTCCTGTTTTATGAAATGTAAATGTCTTGTTGGAAGAGAGCCTAGGAAAAAGATGGATCATCAAACGAGATGCTAAGGAGATGGATGGGACACGGGAGGGGATTGCTGTAGGGAAAATGAAAAATGTCAGAACCTTTTTTTTCGCAGTCTTCCGAAATCTCCTCTTGCGCGTGTTCTTCAGAGGGCAGGTGACTAAAGAGCAAAACAATGGGATTAGCGAAGCCAAGAATCAGTCCACTGCCCAACGAGGGGACATTATGTTTCCTGAACTGCTGATATGCCAAGTTTTCAATATAAACAAGTCAAAAAGCTGCTGTGTGTATATAATTACTTACTGCCGTGATTCCAAACAAATTTCTTGTCCTTGTCTTTATCCTTCTTTTTGGTCTTAGGGTCAGTGCCAGTTGGCTCTTCCAAAGGGGGGTAAAGGTCTCCATCTAGTGTACACACGAGCATCTAACCCGTGGATGGGAAAAATGAATGCTAAATATCATGCTGATTAATCTGTACTGCACTGCACTGTAACCGGGGAAATAAATTTACATAACATGTATCTAAAATCCAAAATGTACTTTTATTTTAAACCAATAAAAAATGGAAAACTGTAAAAATGATTTATTTCCACTCTCGTGCTTACCTGGCAGACATCTGCGGTCTTGTAAAACGTCTTCTTGTCCACCGTTTTGAGTGACTCAATCATGCAGGGGAGATCAACCAGTTTGCAGGCCAAAGGAACACGGTCTACTCTAACTATGCCATGACGACCATCAGCTACAAATAAGAGGGACAAATGACTGTTAGGGGGACATGTGGGTGACAATTCTTTAACTAGATCCATTAGCATGCTACAATCATTGTTACATTTAAATAAGAAAAAGAATGAAACTGCTATAGAAATATGTACAACGTTCAAAATTCTGGACCCGACTGTAAATGAATAACAAGACAGGGAGACAGCGTGAGACAAATGAAACCAGTGCCAAGATTGTGAGCAGCTTACGGTGCAACTCAATGGT